ACACACACACACACACACACACACACACACACACACACACACACACACACACATACACACACACAGGTTTATGAAGCAATGATTATTTCTGAAGCAAAGTCAAACTTGAAATTAACCAACATATTATAAAACAAAACAAGACCATTTATTAACTGCCTTGTCTGATGCAGGCTGTCTGAAGTGCTGCCACACAGGATTTCTTCTTTCAGCCCTTTCTTAAAAGCATTAATAAATAAATAAATTCATGATTTATTTTATCTAGTGCTAAATATTCTGTTTTTATTTGTATATTAATCAGGTTAATATGTATTTTTTACATTTAAAAAATGCCTGTTTTAATATCCCAGCATTTTGATGCAAAAACAGCAACAGGCCTAAATAAAACTGTCAGAGCAACTCAGAGAAAAAGGAGACACACACATCCATCTTGCTATTTTTGTGAGGACTTCACACACACACACGCAGCGCTCATAGACTGCCTCAGTCTGCACCCGTTTTTTTCACACAGGGCAAAAATGCATTTAAACCAGCTGAAGTTAAATTTAGAGCACAGTTTGAAATGTACACCGAAGGAAAACTGCATCACAACTTTTATACTGCRGTCAGAGCAAACGTGATCTGCAGCGTCTGCCTGCTGCACGGCGGCAGCTCTAACGTAACAGCGAGAAAGGACCGAGAGCTTTTTATTTTAATCCAGCAGGGAGAACAATACAGGTGTTCTTCTCTGCCTCCTGTGAGCAGTTCCAGCATTTTTTAAAAGAAAAACAATGTGGACACGCTAATTATAGTGCGGTGTCAAACCGAAAGTAAAAACATGGAGCTAGCTGCGCTCCCGTTCGAAGTAAAACTTRACACACAGCTTTTCTCTCTACCACACATAGTCTGACACAGAGGGCAGAAACAGCTAAATTAGACAGTTAAAACACATTAATATTGTTGTTGGCACTCTGTGGAGATTGTGCCGAGGCTGTCACTGTTAACAGTGAACACCAGAGGGCGCAATTAACAGCTTTCTTTGAGGCACCGAAATTAGAGTTGTGTTTCGGTCTGTGTACTACAGTATATGTTCACTCCGGTGCCATACTGGAACCGAGTTTCGGTACCCAACCCTAGTCGCGCTTGCTGGGGGGAGCGGGGGTTTGCCATGATGCAGTTTACTTGGCATCTGAAAATACATTTCCTCAAAAGTAATTTTAATCTGAAAAGATCTTCACTGAGTGAGAACTAATATTGAGAGCTCAGCAGACAGTTTCAGTTTCACTTTCACCCAGAGCCTGCAGGAGTCATGGGCAGGGTGTGTTGKGAGGGGGGTGGGGGGCGCTCCGCCATGAGGAAGTTCGGCTTAAAGGCACGGCCCCGGGGTGTTTCTGGTCCCTACCTGTTGTTTTGCTCCTCAGCATGGCTTCCTAAAAACGCTGCAGGATTTCTCAAACATGCATGAATGAGTCAAAGCAAGGCTTTGGGCATGTTTTTTATGAGAGTATAACATTATAACATGATATAAAAACTCAAAAAAGTTGATTTTACATATTGCCTCTTTAAAACAGTCCTGACTTTAACCACAGTCATGAAGAAATTTGCTTCTCAGTAACAGATGGGTAAAATTTATGTACAAAAAATAAAACACTGCATGACATTGCAATGCTATTTTATTATTTTCATTTGTTGAATAAATACACTATCATGACACAACTTAGTAAATGTTTGATTGCTTTTGGAG